CGCTTTAGTGGGCTGTTGATGCATTGGGCAGTGGGGTGGAGAAGTGGTCTCGGGAGCTGGGGTGCCCTGAGGCCCTGCTGTGGCTGATCTGAATTTAGCAACACATACAGAAAGCAGATGGGATGGTTTGGGAAGCCAGGGCTTCCCAGTGAGTCCGAGTTAAGTGTGTGAGGCGTTTGTGATGCAGCAATGATAACCAGTACACACACATGACCTCATTGCATCCTTGCAGCAGCCCTGGAGGTAGGCTCTGTGATCGTCTGCCTTTTCACGGGCGAGGAAACGGAGGCTCCATGGAGCAGGAGAGCCCCGGAGTCACTCCAGAGCCTGTTTCCCATCCATGGACCCTGCTGCAAAGTGTGTTGATTCATTTTTGTATCCCCAGTGCCTGGCATACAATAAGCACTTAATAAATGTGTCCGTTGAATACACAAATAAATAGATAAAAACTGAACAAATAAATGGGTCTCCGAGACTCAGTTTCCCCTTCTGCAAAAGGGGGTGGCTGGACCAGATGCTGCCTCCTGAGGTCCCTGCTGTCTCTAGAATTCCATGCTTCTAGGAGCAACTCTCCCCACAGTGGCACCTGTCACAGAACCACTCCAGCTGGCTTTCAGAGATCTTCAGAATCTGACCCTAACCCAGTCCCCTAGACTTCAAGACCCCTGCCCATTCCTCCCTGCTCCAACCCAGAAAAACCTTTCTTCCCAACAGATTCCAATCCCACACCCACTACACGGTCTACTTCCATCCTCTCCGTAAAGCTTCCCCGGCCCGGGTCCCAGTCCAGAACATGTCCAAATCCATCTTAGAGATGGAAGCCAAGTGCAAAGAAGGGAATGTGCTATGAAAAACCAGGGCCTAGATTCTTCCAAACAGCAGTGGGGCTCCCAAATCTCGTTTAATACATGGTTGAGCTTTTATGTGCATTTCTATTGTTTGCGCGTTATCTTGACAGTGGTCCAGACATCTTAACACCAGATAGACTGCTATTTGGTTAATATTTTCTCTTTAAACAGCCTGCAATTGACTCCCTTCCCTTCCCTCTCTCCCACCCTCATTTCCTTCTTTTCTTCCTTCCTGAGAACTTTGTCTCATTCTAAACAGTAACATCTGTGAAGTCATAGGCCCCATGTCTGCACCAAAACCATCCCCACCGTCACCAGTCTATGTGTATTTCCCCATTTGGGGAAATATTGGCTTTTAGGAGAAGGTGTTTTTAAGCCACAAACTAACCTTTCTAAATAACCTTGGCACACCTTTTCATGGGACTGCTAGAGACAGGATGTTTAAATGATTTTATTTTCCCCTTTGTGCCTTTCCATAGCTTTCACATTTTTATAATAAGCAGTAATTGCTTCTGTAACTAGAAACCATAAATGCATGCTGGAAAATAACTAAGACATCATCTGCATTTTCCAAACACAGGGAGCTGGGCCAAGAGATAGTGGGGCGAGTGCCCAGACATTTGCCAAGCACATCCCAAGGTTATTTATGTGGAATAACTTTGAGGTAATGCTCAGCTCTCCATAACCTCACTTCGCTCCCTTCTTCCAATTGTTGGAATTGGAGGAAATTTCATCCCTCCTGCTTTTCTCCCGGAGCCAGCTGTCACCGGGTGTGTAGGGGACAGGAAACAGGATTACAAGATTAACAGTGGGCCTGCCGTCCCGCCGGCCGTTATCGCGGCTGACTCCGGAGAGCCGTATTCTCTGCTTGTCACTACCTACGGCAACCTGGGGGTTGGGACTCTGGCCCAAAATAAATCCCGAACAAGGGAAAAACTGGGAGTCATGTGGAGTTTTCCCCGAAGCCGGGTCAATTTTGCTGAACGTAGACCAGGAATCAAGCTCCTTTAGGCATTTTCTCGTGCAAATCTTAGAGGAACCCTAGAAAGTGAGAAGCTGCATTTTTTATGCCCCTTTTGTAGGTGAGGACACTGAGGCTAGCTCCCTTACCCAAGGATGTGTCCAGAGACCCAGGCCTGTGTACTACCCCCCACCCCAGCCGGTTAGGTCAGCCCCCTGGCTCCCCAGTGCTACTCCTAACATGGCCACAAAGACACACGTGCTCTTAGGCTGACAGTGTCAACTACTGAGCATCTCCTGGTGACCAGCCACCTCTTTCCTCCCTTCTGCCTGCAAAGTCCCTACCCAGGAAAGAGACCTAGGCAAGTCCCCATTCTGCAATAATTTGGGGAATGGTTAGGGCAGCCAGTTCAGACCAAAGAAGAGTCATCTGCCCAAGTATCTAAGTAGCTGTGTTGACTAGAGCTTAACTCGAGAATCACCGAATCACTGACGTCTGACATCTCGAACACCTGCGGGTCCCCACCCGTCTCTCCTTGCATGTCTGTCATCTGTCCAATCAGCTTCCAAAGTGCACGGCCCTGGCCTGACATAGAAAAGCCATGGGGGGTCCTGGGAAGAGACACACGCTGAGTACGTGGTCTGCAGCCAGGGAAAGCTTCTTGGAGGGAGGAAGAGCTACCAGGGGACCTGGCGATGGTTGGAAGGTGCCAGGCGAAGGAAGAAGGGAGAATTAGAGGCTAGAGGCACATCGAATGTGCATTCAAAGGGACAGAATGAAGGAAAGAACACAGGTTTGGGCCACCTCCGTTAGCATGATTGGAACATATTAGGAGAACACTGGGGAGGGACACAGCTGGAGGGGTGGCCGGCCAGACGGGAAGGGCGTGGCCAACCAGACAAGGGAGTCTGGACCTTATACGGAGGGCCACAGGGGGCTTGAATGTGTTCTCCATTGCACAGTGACCTTGTCTGATTTGTGTTTTACAAAGATCTCTTTGGCAGCTGCCTGGAGAAATTTCGGGAGGAGAACAGGACTGAATTTGGTCTAAATCAGTTAGGAGGCTATGGCTGGTGAGCATGGTGGTGGCTGAAATAAGCAGCCTGGCAGGAGAAGGGGGCAAATTCTGAGATAGCTTAAGATAGTAGAATCAGCCCAGGCACGGTGGCTCATGCCTGTAATTCCAGCACTTTGGGAGGCCAAAGTGGGAGGATCGCTTGAGGCCAAGGCCAGGAGTTGGAGACCAGCCTGGACAATAGAGCAAGACCCCATCTCTACAAAAAAATAAAAATTAGTCAGACGTGGTGGTGTGTGCCTGTAGTCCCAGCTACTTGGCAGGCTGGGGCAGGAGGATCGCTTGAGCCCAGGAATTCGAGGCTGCAATGAGCTATGATCACACCCCTGCACACCTGGGCAACAGAGCAAGACCCCATCTCAGAAAGAAGGAAAAAAAAAATGAAGGTTGAATCAGTAGGATATGGTAACTAGTTAAGTTTGAGGGGCTGATCTGAGATACCCTAAATCCATTATTCACTCCCCACTCTTGGCCTTGTGAGAAGGAGGGATAGAAGTGAGAGATGATGAAGCCCTTTAATTGTGGGCAGTTTCTCTTCAGTTCCCACCTGGACAGTCTGGGACATGACTTTGTGTGGCAATGGCTAAACTGCCTTGATGGCAAATACCCATCAGAATGGGATAGGAACAAAAACTTGGCACTCTGAGCCTAGCTAGGTCCATAAATAATTGGACCCCTCTCAGCTAAAATGTGATATTTGTAGTCAACTTTTCCACTGACCATACGACTAAATCAAACTCCAATTTTGAAATGTTGATGCTTAAAACAACAATAAAAAAAAAAAACCTCTTTAAATAATAATCTAAGAACTTGTCTATTTTAGCCACAACCATGAAGGAAACCAACTATGAACACAGAAATGCATAGGAATGTGAGGTATGTGTGCACTCTTGAAGGTAATGTCCTTTTTTTTTTTTTAATTTTTAGAGAATGGATCTCACCATGTTGCCCAGGCTGGAGTGCAGTGTCTACTCACAGGCATGATCCTAGCACATGTCAGCCTCAAACTCCTGGGCTCAAGTGATCCTCCTGCCCCAGCCTCCCCAGTAGCTGGGACTACAGGCACACACCCCTGTGCCTGGCTTTATTTTTTAAAAGCATGCAAAATTAGATCTGGTAAGCCTGCTATCTAAAAACAATTTCTCCATGGCTTGTACTTCTAAACCCAACAGTAAAACTACAAAGCTAAGGCCTTTCTTTCCCTCTCTCCTTCTTATTCTCTTGTCTTTCTTTGAATGAGTATGTCTGTTTATCTGCCTGATTCTCCCTTTTCGTGTCTTCCAGAAAGAATAAGGAAAAACATCCGAAATGACCTCATTTTATTTTGAAACACTAAACCCACCAACAGGAAAAAAAAAAAAAAAAAAAAAAAAAAAAAAAAAGGAAAGAAAAAAAATGGAAAAAAAAAAAAAACCCTTCTTGGTCAAAGGAATCAAGATGTATTTCTAATTCTCTTGCCATATGGTAAGTTATTTTGGAAGCACATCAAGAGGTAGAGAGAATGTTTGACAAAATTGGCAATGCTCGTACAATCCTTTCAAATCAGACCAAATTCCCACTCTGTGCATTTGCTACAGGGCCTCCTATCCATCATATCAGCGACTATGACCACAGGATATGTAAAAATACCAAGTGCTTTTTAGCACCAGCTTCCAATCCTCCAGTGCCCTGGACACCACATGGTGTCAAATTCGTCTGTATTTCACCCCCAGGAAATCAAGCCATTAACTTCTCTTTCATTTACCAAGAGCTTATGCCAGAATCAAAAGCGTTCATGGGCTGGGACTTAAGGGAAGAAAAAGAGAAAAGGTTTCACTACAGGGAGAAAGACAGGAAAAATAGAAGAGAGAATGTTGTCGATTTTGTTCCCTAGGCAGGTGGAGAATCCAAACTCCTGGGACCTTCTCCACGCCAGGAGGTTCACTTGTCTGATGGTGGCAACCACATGGGACGGTTATCAGACAGCGGGACAGAGCGGGCTTGTTCTCCCAGTTTCTCTGTGCCTGGCGTTCTGCGGGCAGGGAGGCAGGTGGAGGGCAGTGCTAGCTTGCTGCCAGCTCACCTGGGGTATGGGGGGCTGTGTGCAGAGGGGGGAGCTTGGGGTCCCCCTTCCTACCTTTGCATTCTTGACATTCTGTGCAGCTCCATGTCATCGCTGCCCCGGAATCCTTTGGCGAAGGGATTATTCTCGATCTTTAATTGCGTGATCTGAAGGAAAGAGGGAGAGGGGGCGAGAGCTGGTTTTCACTTGATTGCTACAAGACAACCTCGGGACATGAGCTAATAATAAATGTCATGGAAACGCAGCTTCTGGCAACCAAAAGAAGCAAATTAAGTCAGGCACGTCAACGGGACCCACCACTTCATTCAAGTGGAGGCTTTGAAAAATGTCCTCCATCACGCTGCTTTTAAAAGGGGAAAAAAACCTGGATTTGGTTTGCCCATTAATTGGAGTCATACTCTGCATCATTCCAGCTGGATTTCTTTCTTTTCTTTCTTTCCTTCCCTTTTTTCTTCTTCTTTCTTTCTTTTTTTCTTTCCCTTCTTTTCTTTTTTTTTCACTCGTTCTTTTCCTTCTTTTGTCTTTCTTTCTCTTTGCTTCCTCCCTTCTTTCCTCTCTTCCTTCCTTCTTTCCTTCTTTCTCCCTTTCTCTCCCTCCCTCTTTTCCTTTCCTTTTCCTTCCTTTCTCCTTGCCTTCCTTCCTTCCTTCTTTCTCCCTTTCTTTCCTTCCCCCTTTCCCTTCCCTTCCCTTCCCTTCCCTTCCCTTCTTCCTCCCTCCCTTCCTTCCTTCTTCCCTTCCTTGCTTTTCTTCCTTTTTAAATCTTGGCATTTTGTGTTGCAAACACAAGCTAGGCATGAACACTTGGACTTCCCCCCATTGGAAAGTTGTGCATGTTGACATTGTTGTTGCACATCCGGTGGTGTGGTAATCTCCATTTGGAAGGGTTAGCCCCATCACGTGTGTTTCTGGAGAAAATATGTCATGATTATTGCTTTCAAAAATCCTATAATGCCTCATTTCATGTTTATTTCATAGTTTCACAGACAGAGATTGCTAGCTCAGGTGGAAAACGGTGCCTAATAAAATAAACACCAGCGTACATAATGATAACGCATACGATAATTATTACACAACACCAGACCTCTTAAATGTCCAAGACAAGGAAGAGAGAGCTCTATCTTAGAAATCTGTGCTATAATGTACAAAGCTTAGTAATAGAATGGGGTCTTTTTGAACATTTTGGTTCCAGGCCCAGAACTTTAATTTAAGCCATCAACACATTATATTAATATTAGCGTGAATGTACAGTAGCAGACCCAGGTGACAGAATGCATCCATATGGAGCTTGCTAAAAATTGCGTGTGAAATCAATTTTCATATATAGAATCACATGATAGACACCAGGGCAACATGACTGAAACTTCAGTCATTCAAGGTTTTTCTTCACAATCATTGCTGCACCTATTACAGAGCACTTGTACACTGGCTTAATATTTCTATTTAAATCAAATCACTTTTTAAATTCATTTCACACAGAAATACTGTGTTCACTTCTCTGTATGGCAAACTAGAATCACTTGCTATTCAATTAAAAAAAAAACAACCAATATATTAAATTGTCTCTACTGGTGCCCAAAGACTGCCTGTTCTTTGTTGCAAGGCAAGATCAGACAATTTTAGAGAAGTCTTTAATGCAAAATACTACTGAGCCAAGACTCTCTCTGATACAAAACTAAAGAGATAATTGAAAAGAGAACAACCTTCTCTGTGATTTCATCATAGTCAGATACCCCTAAAAATCATCTCACCTACTCTAGTAGTATATTTATAGACTTCTGAAAAACTATCCTGGAGTGAAAATGAATGCACTCTCTAATTTCTTCATTTGAGGTGGGACATTCTTGTCTGTTCTGTTTTCTGGAAGAGGTGACTGATAAGGTTTGCCTCTAACTCCAAAACTCTATAATGAACCTATAATTACTATTTACATATTACTATTTACAACACATATATGGATAACATATGTGTGTTCACAGTAAAAATATAAATCTACTTAACTTTTTTAAAATATAAGATTCCAAATATCTGACATTCTGGAAAAGGCAAAACCAGGTAAGGCAAAAAGATCAGTTGTTGCCAGAGATTGAGGGGAGGGAGGGGTGAACAGGTGGAACACAGAGAGTTTTTAAGGCAATGACAACACTCTGTAATCATACTATAATAGTGGAGATACATCATCGTACATTTTTCCAAACCCATAGAATGCACACCACCATGAGTGAACCCTAATGTAAACTATGGACTTTGGGTGACAACAATGTGTCACTCACTGTAGGCTCATCAATTGTAACAAATGTCACACTCTGGTGGAGGATGTTGATGGTGGAGAGGCTGGAGGAGGGGAAAGAGGGTGCATGGGAACTCTCTGCACTTCTTACTCAACTTTGCTGTGAACCTAAAACTGCTCTAAAAATTAAAGCCTATTTCAAAATACTTTTTAAAATATGCATGTATATATTGGTGCATGTGTGTGTGTGTGTGTGTGTGTGTGTGTGTGTGAGTATGCACATTCTCCCCTCCCTCATTTTTTTTTTAACTTTTCCCATTCCTGTAGCTTTCAGATTTTGCCTTGATTCTTCAGAATGAGTAGAAAAGTCTATAAAATCCTATTGGAAAACCAGTCAGTCTCTAAGACGTGCACTCCTGAATTCAGTCGTATGTTAAGAGTCTAAAAGCCCATCACTAACGGGACTTTCTTTCTCACCCAGGCTTTCTCACAATAAAATGCCACCCAGTTGACCGTAAATCACTTTTTTAAATGAACTAACAAAAAAGCAAAAGATTCATCATTCAAAGGGGTGCCACGGCCTGAGCAACATAGTGAAATCTCATTTCTATAAAAAATAGGAAAATTAGCCTGGTATGGTGGCTCATGCCTGTAATCCCAGCACTTTGGGAGGCCAAGGCAGGAGGATCACTTGAGCCCAGGAGTGAGCTACGATCTCCACATGGCACTACAGCCTGGGTGACAGAGCGAGACCCTAGCTCAAAATAAACAAATAAATAAAAATAAAAAGAAGTGGAAGAAATCCTCCCTCCCTCCACCAGCACCTCCCTCACCGCCTCCCCTCCCCCACCCCAGTCACGAAAGCAAATGCGAAAGACAGTGAGTATGTGGCATCAGGGTGGAATGAGTGCCCAGTTGACAATGTCACTGCACCACCAAGAACTCAGGACAAGAAATTGTCCCAATGGAAAGAAAAAAAAGGGGGGGTGTGAATTTTATTTTATCAGCAAAACTTTGGTGCTCAAACCCATTCCTTGCACTTCAAGCATGCTTGCTACTACCTAGTTCTTATGCTTATCCATAGCTTGCAAAAACATGATTGCATACAATAAGCACAATTTGCTACATATATGCTTAGGTGTGTGGCTCTTACATTCAACTTCTCCTGCAGACTAAGTACACAGGCCTACAAAGACATAAAAATTACCCTGGAGAAATGTTAACATACACGCTTATCTGCAAGGGAAAATATCTGTCTTATTTTGTATATGTCCGCTCCCAAACTATAACCCTGTTTATAAAATTCCCTTCCTGATACGCTGTGTGTTAGCTCCTGAGTATACATACCGATCCACTTGGATGCCCATTCTACCAAAAGGCCCCACTGCTACTGACTTCTATTCACCGTACAAATGTACTCCCTTCAAAATCAACATAAAACCGGATATCCGGGGGAGAACTGGGGGGAGGGGGACGAATATAAATGCCAGCTCCAACCCGTAAGACAGAGGTTGTAAAAATTAATGAGAATAATTGTTGTGAATTCTCGCTTTTGAAAAAAACTAAAAAAAATTTTAAAAACCCTCACGAGGGCCAAAAATCTTAATTATGTCTCTCTATTAAGGGTTCATTTCCTGGTCCCAACCAGAAAACTCATACCTCATAAATACAGACCCCTTACACAATGATTTAAGCAGGAGGAAAATGCCTTTTAATGGCAAAGTGAGTTAATATCGGGGGATAGTCGTGCTTGCATACACAGCCATTGTTGCAAGAACAGGGAAATGAAATGCCCACGTGACCTTTTTTTAACACCTAAATATTTCTAGGGATTGCCCTGGGAGTTGCTGACAACTGCAGTGAAAACTTTACAAAAACATGTTTCACGGAATGAACGTCACTGGGGAAGATTTGAGTTTTTAAATATCTTTTTCAAGCTGTCAACCATCTGGGGAAATAACTCCCAAATCCAGCTTAGGATCACAGCTGGGCTGAGGAAATATGTCTAGTCTTTAGGAGCCCTGTGGTATATAGGTAAGTGACTGCAGCCTAAGAAATGAACCCCACGCCACAAACCTACCTCCACCTGGTACCTAGAGAAAGATCATTTGAAAGGCACTGAGCCCTTTTGACCAAAAAAAAAAAACGATGGCTCTTATTTTCCCAAATTGTCCTAGCAATTTAAGCACATGGACTGCTTTTCTTTCCCTGGTCATTTATCCAAAGCAAAATGGCTAGACAAATAGTCCTTGAATTGACGACATGATCAGGGAACGAGCCAACTAAACCACAAAGACTAACATTTGCAGTTGTTTTTCAACCACAGTAATAACGACTTATTTAAAAATCTCAGTCTTTCAGATTCTAAAATAGCCAGGAAAGGAGTTACATGGAGTAGGCAAAGAGTTTCCTGGAGTCTGCATTTTGGAGGGAAATGCCCTGTGAATAAATGGATCCGTTAAGTAGTCAATCAATGATCCAATCCTCACTAACACACTGTGTAACTCTATGCCAGGCCCTACCCTACACACTTTCTGTAGATTATCTCATTTCATCCTCATAATGACCCTATGAGGTGAGTTCTTTTATTATCCCCATTTTACAGATGGGGAAATGGATTTGCACTTGGGCAGTCTACCTCCAGAGTCTACACCTTAACCCTACTCCGTGGTGAGTAAGCGCTCAGCTGGCTTCTACCCATGAAGTCAGAAGTCTCAACACTCCGTCCAGGTGGGACAATAAAGTATCAAGACTGAGTCCACAAATCACAGGCACCCCTGGCCTGCTATTTAAATCACACATCATATATCCATGCAGGAAAGGTTTTTGCAGGGGCCTTGAGCTTGACTGGGAAATCGTACTGCTTTGGACTTGCTCCTGACAAAGAAACTAGGTGCCTTCAATATGCTACGTGTGAGAAGTGGGAGAGGGTAACAGAAAGTTGCCTCCTGTGAAATCCCCCTTCTGGGTGTCAAAGACCCTGTCAGCCTGGCTAAACAGACTACGTACGGCTCATCTGACCCAACCAATAAAGAAAAAAATATATATAAATTTCTATGTGTGAACCCTTTATGTGGTCACCAAATACACATATATCCAAATGTGTATTTAGAGTCACACATTTTTAGATCCGTGAACATTCAGACACATGATTCCTTAGATTGTACTACAAAAATCACACATACACACCCCATTGGGCTGGCACAAATTCATGCACATATATCACAACATGTATGCACCGGAGAATACATTTGCTTTAAAATAGAAAATTTTTTTGGGGGGGGGGGTTGGGTGTAACTTGAAGTTACGGTGACAGTTTTGCAGATACATACATGGCAATTTATCAAATTGTGTACTTCAAATATTGCAGTTTATTGGGTGACAGTTATGCCCCAATAAAGCTAAAAACAAAGAGGGAGAAGGAGAGAGACAGTGTGTGTGTGTGTTTCCCCAGACCTTTCCACATCTAATGGGTCCCGAAGTCATTACTACACAGAACTTAGGAATTTCTCCCGAAGAATCTGAGCACCCACATGGCTTTTAGGCAGGTCACTTTTATATGTTCACCCCTTCCTGTCCTTCCTGTGCAAACCTGGGCTGTCTTGGGAGAAAGAAAAAAAAAGATCTAACATATTTTTGGACCCTCTGTCAGGTCCCCATAAGCATATACATATGGAGAATCAAGCTTTCTTATTGCTATTTTTTTCCATTCTTTTTTCCTGCTACTGCCACTATAAAGTTAAACACAGGTTTACAGCAGCCATCAAGGAAACCAGTTTCAAGGAGCCAGACTCAAATTAGCCTAAAATCATTTTGCAACATTCAGGGCATTCGACCTTCCCTGTTTTGCTCTTGCTGATTCAACAATCTGGGGGAACTCAGAAAATTCTGCCTTCGCCTTTAAAATGTCACTGTGTTCAGAGAGAAGAAAGCTCTCTCTAGACTTGGGTTCCAAGACAGGTCTTGCAGCCTGGGGAGGACCATCCATCACAGCTTGGCCTGGACACAGACAACCTGGATTTGGAGATAACCCAAGGCATTTTGTAACAGCCCTGGCCTCAGTGGGGGCGTTATCTGCCAATCCAGCCTGCACTGTAATGACCTTCACAGGGGGACTGGAGGATTTAGGGTGTAAAGCCTCCCTCTTGTCCTTCTCTGGCCTCTCCTATGAGGCTCAGAGCCCCTGCAAGGTGCTTGCTAGTGCGAACAGGAGCTATGAAGGGGGAAAGAGTGCCACCATCCCCACATCCATCTAGGTAAGTTGCAGATCCCATGTGGACCCCCCCTCTCTATGTTGCCCTCCCACAGCCATCTAACCCCAAATCACGGCCTACTACTCCAGCACCTATTATTTGCCTCTCCGATTCCAGATCTTTTCATAACAAGGCTTAGGAAACATCAAATCCCTCCCGCCACCCACAATCAAATGAATCCACGTGCACTCAGGTATCTAAAGAACAGAGGTGGACTATGACAAGTCAAGACAAGCTCCTTCTCCAGGGGAAAAATAGAAGATATTCCCACACAATCTGTGGTCATAGATAGCCTGCTCCAATGTCATTGTCAATCTTTGAAATGGCAAAATCAGGGCCTGGACTTTGAACAACATGGAGTCTGACGTTTACACAATCCATCCGGCACCGTCCCACCTCTATACCAAACTGCAGCCACCTTTTCCCAAAAAACACATGTGCTCTGTGTGCCCCATGGCTCCCCTCCCCAAGCTGTAGGCTGACATCTAAGTCCCAGGACCGCCAGTGGCATAGGTTACTCCGTTTTTGTTTTAACAGGGCCAATCTTGCTTGAGAATGCGGTCTGGGGTCAGTAGTTACAGAAACAATTGGGAAAGCATCCAGAAAATCCAATCCCAAGGTTTCCAGCGACTTTGCCACCTGCCCCGCTACCAGCTGAGGTACATCTAAAAGGCACAGTGGAGGCAAAGAGGAAACTGACCCCAACAGAAAAGGTGGCCCCACAAAGGGTGGCCCCAGGTCCCTGCCCAAGAGCACAGAGCCATGCCATAAAGTGACTTGTCTTTCCACTAAGCATTTCTTGAGTTCCATGGGCATTGCCTTCTTGTGTCATTTGAGTGTGTGGCCATCTTTGGTTTGGCGAGTTTGTTTCTAACTGGTGTGTGTGTGCATTTGTGTGGTTGTGACGGTAGTAGTGCCAAGCCCGTGAATTAGCACAAACAGCTACAATCCTTAGGTTACATCTTTGTCCTCACCCCGGTACCCCGGGGTCAAAGTTAGTGCCCACTATTTGCTAGCTATTGGAAGATCCAAGACACCCTTAAAGTATGAAGGTCTATATCCACACACACAAAAAAACAGGCAGTTCCAGGAGCTTGTTCCTGGGTGTGGGGCTTACCTTGTGGTTCTGGTAGGAAGTGACGGCAATAAACGCTGTCTCAGGAAAGACGTGGGTGCAGAACGCCGTATTTTTTGAGCCAAATCCATTATTTTCATCCGCTTTCACTATGTGTAATCTGGGCTGGTATTTGTGCATGGAATTTAGAATAATCTAAAAATAATAAAGAAAATGAGATTGTAGGAAAATCAAAACTCCCTTTGTTTCCAGATAAAACCTTGCTCCCACCCCCCAAATTAGCCTCATTACATAGGCTCTCTCTGAAAAACAGATTTTTTTTTCCTCCTGTTTTGAAAAGGAGCCAGTGATTTCATTAAAAAGAAACATTTCAAAAATGACAATTTCCAACCCAAAAAGCCAGGGTAATATTCCAGGAATCTACCCAAGGCACACAGGGCAGTAAATCAGAAATCTTAATAAAGTTTGCTTAATAAATTAACTCCCTGCGTAGGGCACTTCCCGCCCCCAACAGGAGCTGAGCGAGCTGGGGAGCAAGGAGTCTGGGGGAAGCCTGGGTGGCAATTTTGGAAGGAGGAGGGGGAGAGAAACAAACAAATAAATAAACATACAAATAACCCCACACTCCACCCCCCCCCAAAAAAAAACAACCTCTAAGGGATGCAAGGTAAGAGACTAAATATTTGCAAAACTGGAATAAAAATCACCAGTTCACTGCATAGCTTTTTTCGGAGACTTTGGGTGGGTTAACAAACCTCGAATCTTGGCTCTTTGTTTGGAGAACAAGCAAAGAGGAGTTCATGAAAAAAGGAGGATAGGAAGGGGCCATCTGGCCTCAGAGGATAGGGAGATGATGTGGGGAGGAAGCGCCCCCCACTTCCACCCCTCAAAGAAGGGGCTGTTTTCCCTGGAGGCTCCGTTTCCCCAACTTCACCAACATTTCTGGAGTCACAACGAGAATTTATCTCCAGGCTTAGCCCCAGACAGGGCTGCTACGTCTGCTTTTTTGGACATAATCTCTTTCTCCTTCCTTCCTATCTTCCCCGCGTTAGGGGCACCCCCAGGGACAAGTGGGGTCTTGCTGTCTGAGCCCTGCTGTTATTCTCACAACTACTAGTGCCATTTTTAGGGGGAGGACCTCCAGCCTGCACGTTCCTGCTGGAGCCAGGACTAGTCACAGGCAAAGCGGGTTTGTTGTTCCGACGACCGCTGGGTTTTGATGCTCCGGGGCTGCGGTGAACGCTAATACTGACCAAAAAACGCTCTGATCCTTGCGCACCGAATTGGGGGGAATCGCCGCATTTAGTGTCCTGAAAGTCTGGCCTGTTTTTTCCCCACGACCGCGACCTGGAGCGGCCGAGGTTGTCTCGGGGTCTTTGATTATTTGCATTGATGACCCTGGAGCAGGACTCTGGGACCGACCCTGGAGACCGGAGCGGGGGGAGGGGAGCGCTGCCGGGCGGGGGAGGGGCGAGCGGCTTTCGGCCCAGGGGCTGCCCGACCCCGGGGCGAGCGGCTCTAATCTCAGGCTGCCGTGGCCCGGCCGCCTCCCCGGCCGATAGCGACGCCGACCGGGGCGGCGTGGCGACAGAGAGACGCAGCGGGGCCCCGCCGGCCGCCACAGCCCCCGGCCGGCGCGGCCATCGTCCCGGCTTAGCCAAATTGCTTTGACGGCTGGGGACAGTGTGGAGACATCAGCGCGAGGGCGATCTAATGGCTCCTAATTTCATTAGGGCGGCTCGGGATTAAAAATCCGGAGTTTGGGGTGGAAACGCGCAGTAACCGGGCGGGCCGAGCAGCTCCACGCACCTGAAACTCGCGGGGGTGCTCCGAATCTGGTGGCAGGGCTGCGCGCCATCCACCCCAGAGCAGCCCCAAAGGCACGCACAGGGGAGCAAAAGCTAGGAGCCGAAGTGAGGTTGGGCACAGTCCCACTCCCTGGCACCAAGGTCCCGCCCCAGAAGGAAGCCAGCAGAGAGACGCATATGGGACCTTTACAAAATGGTCCAGTTCGCCCTGGTGCTTCAACCCAAGCGTTGTTGGGTACCGGCAGACGCACCCCAGACACCAGACAGCCCACGCCCAGGAAAGCGCCACCATCAGCGGGGGAAACACAAGCAAGAGGAATACTGTGGGCAAAACACAGTGTTCGCACAGAAAGGAGACTCCGAATTTTCCCTGGCAATGCTTCCTGCGCCCTCCCAGCCGCTGGGAAAGAGAATGGGACTTTCTCCTCTCTGGCCAACGGTTCCATCTCCTCGCCACCCACACGTTGAGAGCAGCACGAAGCCATCCGTGGAGGACCCTGAGGTCCTCTCCCCACCCCAGGTCCCCGTGGGTTCCGTGCGTCAGCCCTAAGACCTTGGAGAAGCAGATTTCTCAGTGGGACCTTCACAAACCACCCTTCCTCTTCACCAAACCCATTCCCACCTGGTCCCTTCCTCGCCCTAAATGGGGGACCACGTGTCTGTTTGTGGCTTCTCTGTGGAGCAACCTGGCAGGACAGGGAACTACTTCTGGAATGAGAGAGAAGTAGCCTCAAATCTCTGTTCCCAAATACAAGCTGTATGACCTTGGGCAAGTTGCCTCCCCTGCCTGGACTCCTTTTCACAAAGGAGCACCTTTCTGCCCTCCTCCCCAGGCTGCCAGGAAGAAGATCAAATGCCCCAAGACAAGGAATGAGCCCACTCGTACGGAGGAATCGTTGAGCTAAAGTTTCTAAAGGCTGAATTCAAAGACTGTGTTCTGTTCTGGTGATTAATTATTTCTGACAAAAGATTTAGGGACATTTTCCCCAAAATTTAAAAATCAGTGCTTTGTTCTTTGTTTCTTTTGGGGGAAGAGGACTGATGACCTACTGAGAATCCACTAAAAGCTACATATTTCCATGGGGGAGGGGGAGGGTGCAGCATATTCAATATCCTGCATTCGGTTTCAGAGAATTCATCAGGCTCCTCCCGGGCCAACCCAGACTCCAGGTTTAGGAGCCTGGTTTAGGTGTGCCTGCTCTGGGTGCGGGGTGGGGAGGGAAAAGGCTGGATGTTGGGGAAAATAAATCTGCTCAAGAGTATCAGCTAAAGGGGGTGCTGGCAAGAGGAGAGCTCTCCTCTCCTCTTGTGGGTTCACCCCCTATTGTAAAAGAGAGGGCAGGTGACTTGGGCTCTCTCTCCCACCTGGGACATCCCACTAATCAGGCAAGGTTGGGAAGGGGTAGGGAAGGTATATGGCTCCCACTGTGGTTCGGCCTCTATGAGGTGTGCACTTGGTACCTCTAAGCTAGAGGGTCCATGTTTTCTGCAAGACTGAAACAGCCTCCCTGCCCTAGCCAGGGATTGGGTTCCCGGCCCTAGTGTCCAGGCTTGGAAAGGGCAGTTTCAGTCATGCCTCCATTCCTGCCCCTCAGCAAAGGCAGAGGGTCAAGTGTGGCAGCCAGGATGCAGCCCCGGCAGGAGAACCAGGGTCCTACCTCCTGCCACCAGGGAAAGATGGACCCAGAGCTGGGGAGGGTGTAGCGCAGGGAGGATGGCTGCGAAGGGCAAACATCTGAGTAGGAGAATAGTGCAGACAGAAGAAGACATGGTAAGAAGAAAAAGAAAGCAAAGGGAAAGCCAAGTGAGAAGGTGAAAGAAATAAGAGAAAAGGAAAGAGAGAAGAGGAGAGAAGGGGGGGGGGGGAATAGGAAGAAGAAGGAAGTTCAGATCAAGAAAGTAGAGGAGGAAAGAGACCAAAAAGGGAAACAAAAACCTAGCAAAAAAACAAGGAGAAGCACATGGGCACAAAGGAGCCAAGAAGATCAAGAAGCCCAGTGAGAAGGGAGACAGAGGAGAGAGGACTGGAGGGGGCGGTACTCACATGCCCAAATGGGTCCAGGTGGTTGTTGGTGAGCTTGAGTTTCTGGAAGGAGACGAGCTGCCGCATCCAGTGCGCCCCGGTGGCTGGGGAGTCCGGGTGCACGTAGAGGCGGCCGGGCATGGCTGGCTCGGCTTTGCCGGTCACAGACCTAGACCAAGGAGAGGTGTCACCGAATGCTCCGCAAGGCCCAGAGGTAGTGAGTGCATCGCATGGAGGCGTGATCGGTTGGTTCACTCGCCAAGTGAGGGTTGCTGAGCTGGGAATGATCTAGAAACGGCCTGACCCTCCAGTCTTCCCCCGCTACCCCAGAGTGCCTGGCACCAGGGCCAAGGCAACCCCCCAGCCCCATCTCTTTCTTCTTTCACCTATTCCTTCCCCAGTAGCCTCTCGCTGCCCACAAACAATAGGCTGGTTTCTGAAGGTCTGGGTGTGCAAAAAGTCTAGAAAACTCCTTGAGGGCTTTCAAAGGGGGATTTCCTTTTCAGGCCTCTGCACTATTGGCAGCCGTGGCAGCAATCCACCCAAGGAATGGGCCTCTCCTCTCTTGCCCCTTTCACTCAAATACCACGGGTAGACTTTGCAATTTTATAAAAGCCATGTTCAAAGCAGGTAACTCATAAAAAATAACTGTAAATGGTTTTATGCCCCCAGAAATAACTCCAGCATTTGGTAACAATACCCCTTTCAAAAATCCACAACCCACGGGTGCAGCAATAGATACAGGCACCTCGGTTCCTCTGAGCCTTAGTTTTCTCATCTATAAAATGGGAGCAAATAGCTGCTGTTCCTCTCAGAGTGGCCCGCAGGAAGCAATGCAATAGGCACACAGAAGCCTCTAGCACACAGTAGGAGCTCAAGAAATGTTTATTGGTTCCATTTTGGGGCAGGGGTCCCAATTTCCTCCCTCCCCTCTCCACCTGCCACTCCCGTGCCTACCTACCATTTATTATCTGCGAACTTGTATCTGTGGTCGTCGGCAGGAACAATGTCCATGAGGAGAATGTACTTCGTTTTGGGATTAAGGCCAGTCACCTTCACTTTGTAACTGGGAAACATCCGCCTAGGAGAGAGGGACGGGAGAAGAAAGGGGCGTGGGAATCCGTGCCAATATTTCGAAGCCAGTGTCCACAGATTTTAATGGAAGAAATGATTCTTTGGGCAAGGTGGAGGAGAAAACTGGCCCCGCTCCGCCCTCACCACGATCCACGCCGGGATTCCCTTGGGGTTGCGAGGAGGGAACCGCCAAGGGAGGGGAAAGCTGCAGGCGGCGGCTGTAGGTACGCGAGGAGGAAGACGGAAGGCAGGAGGCTTGTGCTTCTAGAGAACTGCTTCCAAAGAAGCCTGAAAGGGACCCCCATTTCCACTCTCGCTAGGTGCTCTTTCTCAGAGCCAGACACCTACTATTTTAGGGGAGCGGAGGCTTATTAGGTACAAAGCTGGCCGCCTTCTCTGTCCCGCCAGGTGCGTCCGCCTGTCCTCCCAGCGCAGCGGTGTCACGTGTACACCAAGGTGCGCGCACCCGGGGGATGCCTGGTGTGGGTGCACACGCGCGGCCTGCCCTGGCTTTGGTCCCCTGCCCCAGAGATGGGGAGAAGCCGAGGCTCCCAGTACACCTCCGCCGGTGACTTCTGACACAGGTCTCTAGCAGGCGTTTATTCCTAAATTCCGCACGACATCTCCAAAGGCATCTGGCACTCTTCTTCCTTGGAGAAGCTAAACTCCTTGGCCCTCAGCAAAGAAATTCCAAACCTACCCGGATTTAGTTTCAGAAAGAGTTGGGGCCCCGAACTAGCATCTGGTCGTTAGAAAGGCGGTGGCGATGGCGCAGAACTACGATGGCCCGGCTACCTCTCCGCACCCCGGCCCCGCGCACTCCAAATTCCCATTCCGCTCTGGAGGAGCAGGCCCCAGAAAGCAAGGATTCTCAAGGCTGGCCTGAGGCCAAAGGACCGGTTGCTGGATCTTGGCTGGCTCTGCGAGGGCCGGAAGGGGTGAACCGAGGCCTCTCCCTTCAAGCCACCAAGCCGAAGCCTCGCGGCGTTTATCCGCCTGAGCGAGCGCGCCTGGAGGCGGAGGCGCAGGAGACTCCGCGGGCCTTTTATAGCTAAATCCTCTCGGCTCGGGCTGGGGGGGGAAGAAGGAGCCCGGCGGTGTCTTTCCTTCCTGGGGGAATGGGAAGAGGACCGCGGTTCGTTGGTATAAACAGAACGCGCCTCCTAGTTCACCCAGGCCTTGGGCCGAGCGGGGAGCAGACATTGTTTAATTTTAAATAATAATAAATGTCACCGTTGTCAGTTTATGGAGGGAGGCTTCAGCTGGAGAACCGGGGGCATCTAGAGAGGCGGCTCTACCCTCCCCCTTCACACGGTCGGTGGCTCGGGCCTACGGGACTCTGGCTTCACACCACGCCTGCTCCGGGCGGCCCCCGGCTTTGGGCCCTTCGGGACGCGGAGGACCCGTGTGCGCCCCGGTAGGGAGGTGGCGAGGCCTGGGCACGCGGGCGCACACGTCGAAACCTGCTCGGCCCCGCTCTCCCACCCCCTCCCCCAGAAGTCTAGCATTTCCAGCTCAGCCTCCGCGAGCTTTTAAGAGGAACTCTGGGGCGAGTGTCGTGCGAAGCTGCCATGTTTATCGGTGTCTGGATATAGAGCCCGGCCGAGCCCCGGTTGAGTTTCAAAGGCTTCGCCTGCTTTCTATAAACAATGAAAGGGGTAGCGAGTACATTCGACCGATTCAGAGTCTGGCAATCGGGTGGGACCCTGGAGCCACTCCAAGGTCAGAGAGGGTGGGGATGGGGGTGGGGGCGAGGACTCCAGTCCGAGACCTATGAAACCCAAAGCCCTCCTCGAATCTGCCTTCTCTGCGCTTCTCTGTTAGCCCTTTCTCTCTTCTCCCTCTTCCCTCTTTCTCTACTAATCCGTCCAGATAGTGCGGCCTCCCAGGCTCTTGAGTCTTTTTATATACGAGATGGAAGAAATGCCCCATTTGCGGAGTCCAACATTTGCAGTATTGCCCCCACCCTGCCGGCCATCAGCGGAAGAATTCTTCCTGTGCCTCTGTAACCAGAATCGGGTCAAACAAAATATATCCCTCTCTCTTTCCCCTCTCCTTTATTCTGTTTTCTCTCTGTCCTTTCCCCTTTCCCCATCTCCCTTCTCTCTTCTCTCCCAAGCCACCTTTTCTTCTTCCTTCTCTTCTTCGCCTCTCCCACGGTTTCCCTGTGCGCCTCCTGCGCAACCAACCGCCTCACCTTCCAGCCTTGGTGATGATCATCTCCGTGCCCACTTCATGGAATTTCAGCCACAGTTCTCTTTCATGGAGAAACACCTTGATTCCTTCCATGCCCTGCAGGAAGGAAAGGAAAGTCACAAGGAGCCCTGGCAGCAGTGGGTATTCCTTGCCCAAACTCCCCCCCAAATGCAGAGACAGCTCCGCCTGCCCCCTGGAGCCCGAGGAGCTCAGAGTGTGCAAAGCACCCCAGCCCACTGCAGACTTTTCTGGGCTCTGGAGCGCCCAACAGCCCCTGCACAGGACTCCCTGTGGAGGCTCAGTCCCACAGGAGGTTTCCAACAACCTTCCCCACCAACGCAAGGCTACAGAATACTCGCCAATCATTGGAGGGTCCCGGAATGTCAGTGGGGAGGACCAGGCTGAGAAAATATGGGGCCAATTTCAATCTGCTTTAGACAAGATATACTTAAAAAAAAAAACTCAATCTAGAAAATCTCACTCAGGATACTCTTACGAAGACACCCAGATGCTCACATGCAAAACATACAGATGTGCAAATACTGTATATGTGCTAGGTTATTCTTGACCATGGAGGGTGCTAATATGAACATGTATGACATTTGAAACTCAAAAATGTTTATATTAACATATGCTCTCATAGACCAGAACAAACATGAATTGATTCTCACTGTCTATATTAATAAACTTGTCCGGCTCTCCTTGCATCCAGCTCTGTTACCTTTGAGCTATTTTGATTACGGGGCATTAAAGGGCTGAAGCCATTTAACATTTCCAATTTCAACTAAGTTATTTTACAGAACCGATGCAAAAAGAAATTATATACCAAGTCTTCGTTTTGAAATAATTTGTAATATCTAGAAAGTGGATTTGGTTTTTCTTAAAAGAAAAAAAAAAAACTCTGTAACTTTCCCAAACTGTGCTGATGTTCTCTGCTTCTGTACAAATGAACACGCATTTTCCTGAAACGTGAAGGCAGAGGAGAGAAGCTATGAAAAAGCCAAGAAGGACGTTGAAATCCCAAGGAAGGGTTTCAGCTAAGTGGATGTGTCTCTTTTGGTCAAGGCACCCTGCTCTGAGCCATGCGACACCTATTTAAAAATGGCCTGAGTCTACAAGGGCCTCCTTGAGCACCCAGTGCGCCTCCGGGTTTAGGGCACAGCAGAGCGCAAGGCTCCTCCCTCTACTCAGGCCCAGCTGGTAGTCAGGCGAGCCCAGGCCGTGGTGCCCTCCCAGCCCAGCCCAGCCCAGCCCTGAGCTCCCTGCGGCCGGCGAGGGCGCGCCAGCCCGCCAGGCCCCGACCGCAAGACAAATGGTGCGGCGCGCGGGTCTAGGCGGCGGCGTGGAGGAGGCAGGCGGAGGCGAAGGCTACGAAAGATCTGAAGAGGGGTCAAGCCATCGCTCATGCCGGCCTGAAGCGGCCGCTCACCCTGCCCTTATTAAGACGCTCGGGGCCCATTCTACACCCCGTGCAGCAGGAAAGGAATTATTGGAGCATTAGCTGACCCCAAATAGCCAGATAATTGAGGTTTCTCTAACAATTTAAATAAATTTCAAAAATCCTCTGGCCATAAAGATAATCGTCACAATAAAGTGGCTGGAATATAATGGCACTGGGGGAAACAGGTCAGAGAAAGGTGGAGTTCACTGGGAATAAAAAGAAAAGGAGAAAATAATGGGCAGTGGGCTCTTTTTTAAAATTTATTTCTTTTTCCTTTGCTTTTCTTTCTTTTTTTCCCTGCTCCCAGAACATTGGCTTTGGTCTCTGCAAGGGGTGCCCTCCGGGGGCTGGAGCTTTTCTTACCTGCTGGGTGAAGGCAGCCTGCGGGGACGACGGGGACTTGCTGGGGGCCCCTAGCGTGCTCTCTGGTTTTGAGTCGCAGGGCAGGTCTTTTGAGTCTGGCTCCAGAGGCGTGTGCGCCAGGCCAAAGCCCTCGTCTGCGTCAGCCATGGTGCACCCGGGGCCCTGCGCCCGCGCCAGGTTCTGCTCTGAAGAGGAGAAGGGGAGAGAGAGAGAAGGAGGAGGAGGAGGAGGAAGAGGAGGAGGGTTGGAGAGCTTAGTTCTAAGAGGGAGCAGTTTCACCCCCAGTTTCCAGCTACCAGCGCCTCCCTCCCCAAATGAAGGAGGCTGCAGAAGGTCCTATTATTATTATCATTACTGTTACTTTACGACCAACCTCTTGCAAAAGACCCAAGTCAGACCTTCACGAGGCGAGGCCCGCATCTCCCCACTGCAGGCTCTCCCTGATAAGCAAGCTGCCAGTCAAATTTGTCTGGACTTCTGGAAGAGCCAATAAAGATAAGCCGTCGGTATTTTTGGAAGCCATTGGGTAGGAACCAAAAACAAAACAAAACAAAAACCCAGTGTCCTTTTGAGAATTTTTTTTTTTTTGTCAAATTACAGAAGGCCATCAGAGCTCTTTTTCTTAAACCTCACAAGAGGAATCATTCTCTGCAACAGGCCAAATGCCCGCAATAACCCGCTTCTTGCAAAATCAAAAACACAGGAGGGCAAGGACGTGCAGATTGACACACTAGATTCCAAAGAGAATCCGTGTGCATTTTTTATCTGTTATAAGCCTTAAGATTGAAAGCCCTTTACAATTAAAAGTCCTTTCCTTTCCTTCAATCTTAAGCAAGATTCGTTAAAAAAATAAAAATAGCCAAACAGGAGACTGGCAGGGCAAAGCCACCGCGCAGCAGGTCTGAGGGAGTCGCGGGCTGGGTGCCCCCCGCAAGCGCTCTGCCGCAGGCCGGGGTGGCTGGCGGGCATCTTGTGGAGAGGCCAGGCGGAGGGGAGCTTCTCCGAGCTTCAGCCAGGCCGGACTCGCTGAAACCGCAGGCCCAGGCTTGGGGTTGGAGAGGACAAAACCAGTCTCAGATAAGTCCCGGGCTACAGGCATTGAATTGGCGGCGCGAGTGCCCCCGCGGTGCGTGGAACCACCCAGGTTTGCAGGCTAGGAGCTTGGAACACGCAGAGTAGCCGCTGCAGAACTGTTCCAGCCCGGGTGAGCCTGCCTCCTGCTCTCTGATCTCCTCCCAGTCTCCTCTCCGTTTTCGAGCAGAGATTCCTCCACTCCCCCCAAAAATAACCCGGAAAGACTTTAAGAAGGGGGCGCAAGCGGTGCCTCCCCCCAAATTGTAGCAGCCAGCTTAAGGTAAAGGCTGGATCCCGCTCCGGTCTGCAGTGGCCGGAGATCTAGAAATAGGGCCAAAGAGAAGGACAGCTTCTGAGGCCTGACTCCCAAGCAGCTTCCTTCATGTCGCCCTTGGGCTTTCGGGAGGCAGCGATGGGAACCCGGCAGCCCGCTCACCACAAAAGAAATCAGGGCGCCCCCAACATGCTCCCGTTCACTGCGGGCCACAGGGAGAATCCCACCCACCCGGCGCCATCGCCAGGGTCCCGGGGAGCTCTGGGCTGGCGGAGGCAAACAAGATGCGCTTTGACAGAACCAGGCCGTGCGCCCTGCAAACCTCAACGCCGCTTCCGCAGCCGCGGCCGCCTCCTGGGCTCCACTTGCTGGGGAGCTCCGGGCCGCGCAAAAGCGCTGCAAGCCGCAGCAGGGCTCTGCAGACGCCGGGCGAGGATGCAGTCCGCCATTCGCGCCGCCCGCGCCGCCCGCGCCGCTCGCCTGGCGGGCCGCCCCCCCCGCCGCAGCCTCCCGGGCCATCCCGGCCGGTTACCTCGCTCGGCGAAGCCGGTGCATTCACCACATTCCCTCTTCCTCCTAGCAGGGAAGCCGGCGGCCAGGCGGGGGTGCAGGCATGGTGGCTTCGGGCTTACGCGGGGAACTGCTCGCCCGGGCTAGCAGCTATTGCTGCCTACAAAGGCGCACCCACCGCTGGAGCCTCCGCGGCGACTGCCCACCTCCAACACACACCTCCCCCGCTTTGCGCTCCCTCTCCCTAAATGTTTCCAAGTTGGCAGGCGCCAGGAGGGCTCCAAAGAACACAAAACAGCAGCCTCCGGGCGCACCCGCCACCATGCAGTCTCAGTGCCCTGCTCTTCCCAGCACCCCCAGGGAGGGAAAGTAGGGACACAAGACCCAGCCCAGAGAATGGTCCAAGTCCTTTCGGAGAGCCGCTTTCGGGTTAAAGTTCCTGAATTTGAGGTAAGAGTCAGTCTCTCTCACTCTCTCCCTCCCTCTCCCTGTCTCTCTCTCTCTCTCTCTGAAATACAAGCCAACTCAGCTGAGCAGTGACGTTAGGTTGCCTTGATGCTCACAAAGTACTGAAATCGCCTATCCAACTAGCTCTGACTGCATGCTCGCTGCACCTCTCTCTCTCTCTCTGTCTCTCTCTGTCTCTCCACCTCCCTCCCACCATGCCTTTCTCCCTCCCCCCAACCTTTTCCACTAGCTTTCCCGAACACTCAAATCACAGCGCGACTCTCCACCCCAAACCTGCGATCACCCCCTCCTCTCCACCCCCTTCCCAACCTCCATCCATCTCTGCTTCTCTGAGCAAGCGGTGGCTGCAAAAAATCCTGTACAAATCATGGCCAAGGCTGTCGGCTTCTACCCGGAACGTAATCTCGGTCGCTCAGGCCAGGCCGTGCGGGGAGCCGGGTCTGAACGCACTGGGTGTGCACACACCCGCCGGGGGCCTCCGCGGCCTTCTCTCTCCAACGCTGACCTCCAGCCAGAGAGCTGCGTGACCCCGCCTGGCCGTCGCTCGCTGGCCCTGACATCTCCCCTCACCCCCCACTCATCACCCCCACTCTCAACGACTCCAGGGTGAAGGCAGGGTGAAGGTGGGTCGGGATCGGGACTGAGATCAAAGATGCCAAGAAATCGCTGTGGGCCCCCAGCCCCCACCCACGCGAGCCACCAGACCTCCCTAGCTCCAGGTGTACACAAGGCAGTGCCCAGTTTATTAAAATAATCAAACAGTCACTGGGGACTGGCTGGAGTTTTCAACTCCACTTGCTTCTCTCCCTGCCCTTCCCCTCTCTGAAATGCATTATTTTGAGGGTGGGTTGAAGAGGTCGATACAAGCGTAAACACAGTCAGCAGGTCTCAGTTTGAGCAGACCCAGATTGGGACATCTGGGTACCCCTGCTTGGAAGAGGTGTCAGGGGTCCCCTTCTGCTTCCCACCCTGGCCGCCTGCACCCCGTCACCCAGATCTTTTCTGGGGCTCTGATTAGAAACTTGGGCCTGCAGATCAAGGTCTGGAAAGATGGATGAAGGAAAGAGAAAAGTCCCAGCAGCCGGCCTCACCCTCTGCGGCTATTCCGATAAAACCCCAGGCCAAGCCATCACTTGCAATTTGTCAAAGTGGACTGTCTAACCCTAAATATGGATCAACAAGGGAGAAAACCAAACCTCAGTTTGCTACAGTTCTCACTCCACCTTCCAGGTTTGTTTTCAAACAGACCTTTGCCAAGTTGATTTGTTTATTTGCGAAAACACCCTCGTCCTCCCAGTCAGCTCAGAGGCCTTTGGGCTTGCTAACAAGGCAACCCCAGGTCGCAGACAAAAAAAAAAACAAACAAAAAAAACAAATATGGCATCAGGATGAGCTTCAATCTCTGCATCTCTGGGAAAAGGAAGGGGAAATCCAGAAAGACCTCTCCAATCCCTTTAAATTCTCCAAGATTTGTGGATAAAATTAATTCCCATAAATAATCTGCAGGCCCCTCCAGAGAGAGAGAATCTGGACTCCCCCAAGTAATAGCTGAGCCAGATTTGCTTAGTTCATTGAGCTCAGATGGGGAGGGACATAGAGCGAAATCAGGATTTTTAAACCTTTCAGAGAATCCACAACGGCCTGCCAGGTGACAGGGGGAGGTATTCTTATGCCCGCTCATCAAAAGGACCAACACAGGGAGGGGAGTTCAGTAGGACCAAGATGGGGAGCAAAGGGGTGTTGGGCAGAGAAAGTGCAAAGAGAAACTTACTCCCTCCCCTCTTAGTTCTCCAGGATGACACTCACCTCCAAAAATCCCACCTCTTCTTTCCAGTGTAAAAGCCAGGAATGCGCTTGGCTGGGGAGGAGGGTTCAGGTGAAGACTTTGGAAAGGAACCCCAAAAGAGACCCCTTTTAGGCCAGGCTCCCCTTTTAGCCTCTGTCAAGAGGAGCGCCTCCCAGCTCGAAGTTGGTTTGCGGTCTCCAACAAATTAAATATTACTGTTTATTACCAGGCATACCCCAATAAAATAAAGAGGCAACCAGGCGATACCGACTATCTCACCAGCCGCTGCACCTATAGGACTTGGAGACGTCACGAGTCACGCAACCGGCCCGCGCGCTGTCACGCTGGACTGGGGGGTAGCGGCAAGGGAGGTTAATTTCTCTGGTCTTCGCCTATCCGTCCGGGGTCTGAGCAGCCACAAGTCCCGGACGCCTCGGCCTCCGGAATAAATAAAGAGATAAACAAACCCAGCGCTCTCCGGGGAAATGGGGGTGGCGAACATAAGACACAAAGCCAAGATCGATTTTCTTAGGAAGGGGGAAAGGAGGGAGCGGTTAGCGAGGCGAGGTGGGAGTCCACCCCAGACCCCGACTGGAAGGAAACCAAGTTGTTTGGAGGGGGTGGGGGACGAGGTCTCTTGTAGGAGGCATAGGATTCTTATTATTTAAAAAATTAATATTTTTTCCTCCGAGGAGGAGCTCTTGGCAGATGAATACTGAGGGGCCATTCTAACTGGTTTTGTTTGGGACGCGGCAACTCAGTGCCCGCTTGCGCACCCGCATAGAAATAATTAGTGGGTTATGGTGGAGAGGAAACGAGACAGGCGTTCAGGGGGAGGAGAGCTGTCCGCAATGTTTCTTGCGGAGAGAAAGGCCATTCTGCGAATGCTCCTTAAGCTAGGTCCGGGAATGCAATTCGTCCCAGAGTGGCCTGGCGGGGGCGGGGGGGTGGGGGTGGGGGTGGAGAGGGGTGATTTCTTCCGAGAAAAATTATAGCACCGGGGCCCGCAGAGAGACGAGGTACTCTATTTTGTTTGGTAACAACGACGACTTATTATTTTTAGTCTGATCAATGGGCATAATTTCTAAGCAGTCCCGTAGCGGATGCGCGCAGCCTTTTGCGCGCGGCTGAAACCCAGTAGGTTCAGTTGCGAACGTACCGCGTAGACGCCCCTGGCGGCGCCGGGAGAAGAGCTAGGCCTGCCCAGCACAGAGCCAGTGAGCGCCGGGCCTTCGCGAAGGGTAAGTTCCCCGCCGAGGGGCCTCGAGGGAGCTGGACGTCTCCATCCGGACTTGCCCCCTGCTTCAGGGCTCGATCCCGGGTTTCGCGCGCTCGCAGCCCCCAGGGCTTTCCGAAGCATGGCCTGGCTCCAGGCCTGGTCCGCTCCGGACCCGAGCGGCAGCGACAAGTGCAGGGACGCAGTCGCCGAGCAGCTGCGGGAGCCAAGGTCAGGCCCGCGGGGAGAGCGGGCGGTGGCTTCCAGCGCGGGCTGCGGTCGCCGGGGCCGGCCGGGCCGCAGACCCTGCGGTTTCCAGAGAGTGGAACCCGCGTCCTTCCTCTCGGCCAGGCCGCAGCGGCTCCCCCAGCTTCGCTTTCGTTTCCCAGGTTATTCACAACCACCTCCTCCCAAATCCGAGGCCTCGTTCGTTGCAGCGTTTGCTCCCAGACGTCCAGAACGCAGCCCGAAGTCCTGCGCCCAAACCCTGCTTGGGTGAGATGACCTCTGGGCCGCTGTGGGCCGGAAACGGAGGCCTGAGCCCCGCGGGGGCTGCAAGGCAAAGACAAAACTCTGAGCGCCGCGAGCTTCTTTCCGTTTGTATCTTTTCTCTCGGATCCCCGACGCGGCCCCAACCACCTGGACCAGCTCACAAAGGACACCACAAACCAGCTTCACCCTCGCTGTCCCGGGCGCTCCAGAGCCCGCACCGCAGATAGAACAAAACGAACACCTCAAGTCGGTTGCAGACTCCCCAACGGTCTGGGCAGTCAGCTCCAGAGCTGGCTGCAACACGCCCCGCTCTCCCTCCTTTCGGGAACTGCCTCTTTCGCCACCGGCTCCCAGCTCGGTTCTCTCTCAAAGTGTATTTTTCGCATTTTGCAAAATTCCCCTGCTCTGATTTTCATACTGCCTGCCGTAGGAGAGCAGAGGTTCCTATTTCAAAAGTCAAAACCAAAACCAGACCAAAGAGCTGATTGCTGTTAATCTCTTTTGTTCTTCACTTTCTCCTTCCCTTTTTAAAAAAGTCACATCCAAAACAACCACGTTGCGTTTTCTTTCTCAAAAGAGAACTCGCTTAAAAATACACCCCCTTCTGTTTCTCTTCCGATGTGTCCCCACCTGACCTGGGTGCCGCTGGGAGACAAGAAGCAGAGAGCAGTGTGGAGATGGCTGAGAACATTAATAAGAATTATAACAATAGGAATGAGGTCAAAACTAAACTTTGACCAACTCAATTTGCAAAAAAAAAAAAAAAAGTCAGTCTGAGGCTGAGAAATTCCCTCCTTTCTCAGGGGGTCACTTTCCCTCTCATCTAGTTAAATCTGGCTCTATTATATTTTTTTTCAGGGACACAGTATTTCCCTTTCCAATGTTTTATTTAGTTCCCAGTTTCCCTTCCTTTTCGGTGGAAGTATGTGAGATAAATACTGGCTGCTATTATTGTCATTATTGAATGCCTAAAATTCTGCTCCAATATTTTCCCCAAGAATTATTATTGCAGTTTTCCATATTTGTGTGACTGCCGCTTCATGTGCTTGGGAAATATTCCCCCAACACTCCCCAGTTTTGGTAGGTAGGTGGGATTTTTTTTTTTTCTTCCTTGTGCTCAGGATAATGAAATAAGTGGAAGAAGAAGTAACATTCTAGAAGTCCAGTTGAGAGGACACTAATGCTAGGGGTTGGCTCAGTCTGCAAGAACTGAAAAGGGGGGAGAGGGTGGCGGAGGGATCGCTGCTCCAGCGCCTGCAATTTGGGAAGTTCCCCCAAATATAGAGGGTGAAGGTCCTAGCTGGGAGAACACGGAGCATCCATGAGCTTCGACTAAGCCTGAGAACTGCAACCGTGTCAGTGGCCCAGAACCCTGGACAGGCCTGCGGTGTAGTGCGTCTACACCATCAGCAGCCCCCCAAAAATGTGGAATAAAAATATATATCAAATTCGGGGGCTCTCACCTTATAAGATAGAGACTTAGACTAATACTTCTAAGTCTGGGGTGCGGGTGAGGGGCTTGCCTGGATAACCTGCCCCCCAACCAAAGGGTGTGTTGGAAACTTGGGAGCTTGCTGCTTTTCCGAGGCTTTGGAAAGACAAATTTTCTTTGGCAAACGGAATGGTGTCGCACTGTCGACAGGGCAGACTATTTTTCTTGTTCCCTCACGAAGGGTGGGGGGGGTGGAGGGAAGAAAAGAAAGCAAGAAAGAAAGGGAAATTAAATCCACACGTGTTAAGCTCGCTCAAAGGGCCGGATTCAAAACCAGAGACGAAACTGTGACTCCGGCTCTGGCTGCCCGCGGGCCTCTTTCCAGCCAGTCCAGCCTTCGCAGACCAATGCATCCCCACCGGAGACAGAATTCGATCCGATGTTTTATAAAGCCCTTTATTTAAGGGGGAGGGGTGTGGGTCTCTGGCGGAGTCTGTGCAGGGGAGATCGAGAACACACAGGGAAAAGGAAACAAAGGAGATAGCAATTGTGATAATAATTGCCCCCTTTATGAAAGCTCAGCTTGAGATCTTCCCAATCAACCCAATGATTGGGGTGACTTTCAGGCCATGGCCAAAATGAGTCAGGCCATTGATTCGGGGAATTCCTAAATCCGGTTAGGCTTTCAGACTTGGGCCTACCTGAGTTGAGAGAACTTAGAACACTGTTTTTATTTGTGCTGGATTGGCAGCCTAATCTGCAGGGCTAATCTGTAGGGCCTTCACACCTCTCTTTTGGGGAGCTATTTTCAGGAGAGGAGGCTGCAGGCCCCAGCTGGAGAGGTGCTCTGCCGTGAGGGAGGGGGTAGAGGAGACCATTGTGCCTGGAGCTGTGAGTGAAAACTCTGGTAATGACCTTGAGGAGGTGAAGGGTGGTGGGTGGGGGTGCGGGTGATGAGGGCAACCAAACCCTAAACTGGAAGGACCCGTCACCTAAACGATTGCTCGGTCGAGACCTCTAATTTTTCTTCCCCTTCAGCCGGTCTCCTCTGGTCTCCTGATGCTGGGTTTCTGGTCTTTGGGGCAGCCCGACAGAAGGGTCCGGAAGCCAGGACCACAGACGACATGATCCCCCTCCCAAATCACATGCAAAAAACACTGGGGTGAAACAAGTGACAGAGGCTCGCTGTGAGGTGCAAACTGACCGAGGTCCTGGGGGAAATGTTCCTGGCAATTGTTTCTTGCAAGGGCCCTGAATTTCCTGGTCACCATTGCAATTCCGGAGTCTTGTCTAATGCTCTCAGCAATGGGGCACCCCGAGGACAACACTTCCGAGTACGGAAAGTGCCTCCACCAGTGGCTCTTGCCTGTCCTGAGCTGCCTCAGTGAATTTAACGAAGCAGGGATTTTAAAACTTCTCCTTTTTATAAACAGGGAGAAAATCGAGGGTTAATGCTGGGTAGGTTCTGGTCTTGAGCCCCCTCTTGGAGTTCAGAGCGATGACCCTGGAGAGGGGTGCACTGACGCTGGGGAACCTTAATCACCTTACTCGAAACCACCGCAGCCAGAGCATCTCAGCCTGGGTGTAGCCAAAGGGTGTTCACAGCCACCCCCAACCCCTTCTGCACACCAGGCTCCCCGCATTCATCCAAGCAGCCCCTTCGCTTGCCTCGAGTAACTTCTCCTAAACAGAAGGAGGAAAGTCTGGCACCAGGAATTGTGGCGTTAGTATCTGCAGGGGCTTATCAAAGGAAAGAATAAATGTATACATATTTTTCTTTTCGAGAAAAATTGGTCCATTGTGGATGTAATAGAAAGAACATTAAACCAATATTTTTTTGGTGTTTTGGTCGCATTGTTTTCTTTTCGAATCTGCGGGGGACGGTGGTGGGAGGGTGCCCCTCTTTCTTTTGGGAGCCGGACAGAGGACAGACAGTACGAGAAAGAATCAGGGTGCTGCCTGGTTCAGCCAGGCCACCAGCACAGATGGAGGGGAGAGGGCTGTGGGGAGAAGGGCTTTGGCCGGTGTGGTCAGAGGCCTTTGGCAGCGGGATGGGAGCGACTTCTCCTCTGTGTCCTCCCAGCTTTGTTTCTCTCTGCAGCCAACCTCATGCATCTCAAAACTGATCAGAAAAGGCAAAACTTAGCTTCTCTTCCCTCACTTCCGGCGTGGCAGCTAATGGCCCCCGAGGCTCCTGGCTGCTCTCGCCCACTCCTCTCCCTTCTGAGAGCCTGGAAGCGGCTGCAGAGGTTCCCTCCGCTAACCCAAGCCCCTGCCTTCTTTCCTCCCCAGCATTTTGCGCTAACATTTCCAGAAGAGTCCTGCTTGTGTCTACCCAGCCACCAAGAGGGAAATGTGGGGGGATTTTGGGCTCACAAATCTGTTAGCATTGGAGGTGCAATAATAGCTAGCCTGCTTGGCGGCCCAGCGGGAGCTGGTGTGACTGGGCTGGGCTCTCGCTTTCAGCCCTGGGTGGCTCTGTGAGAAGGAGGCTGAGCTCTCTCC